CAAAGCTCCTATAATGTACACGGAAATTATGATCTGAGAAATACAAAATTTGAGAAAACCCCTTTATTTTGTTGAATTCATGTTTAAAGTTTTAGAAAAAAATGTGTTTTTGTATGTAAATTGTGCCAAACCTTTGGATAGAATTTTCCCTACTGTGATGTCATCAGTTAGCCTGATTCAGCAGGTTTCACTTCGTAGAAACCGTCTGATCTCGAACCGTTAGAATTCGTTTGCTTGACTGTAGGCGGGTACTTTTTTTATTTAATCAATCGCTGCTATTTGGCTGTGATGTATGTAATGCACCGCTAAGGGGGCTAACTGGTATATTAAGCTTTTCCCAAATCCCATAGGGAAAAGGTCAATAACGTCTTTCCCCTTGATAAAATTCACCAAACATTCTCTTTGTTCCAGCTTTAAATCCTCGATCTCAGGAATCGTTGCCAAGACAGAAAATATGGCTCTTCGCTGATTGGCTGGTGCCCAAACTTGCACTTTCGGGGTTTTTACAAGCTGTCTAGTGTATTCTGATTCCTGAGCTAGTCGCTGGAGGGAAATTAAATTGAGCGGAGGCATTGCCTTGGCAGTTAAGTAATTAGAGGGTCCTTACCAGATTTCCAACCATGAATAAAGAACATGTTTTAGTTTGAACCGTTAGCCACACCCACTTGGTAAGAATGTGCCTGATTGGACAAAAAGAGGTGTCAGTATCTCCTGTATTAGTTATTACTTGAAATAAAATGTTAAGCAAAATGAATAGATTATATTTTAGTCAATTTTTTTCTTCTTTTACCCTACAATGCCTAGTGTCAAGAACATTTATCCTGACAAGAATAAAGTAAAATCTGTTACAGGCCTTTTAAACTAAATATATCTGTTATATATACAAGTCTTCAAAATGTTAGATACCAGGAAGCTGAAACCCTTGAATAGGGAACAGTGTGGTAAAAGGGTGGGATTGAGATTGAGATCATAGCTCAACCTGCGATAATGGTTCTGAATAATACATGTTCATTATGTGGTTTGTCATGCTATTGGCATATGCATTACTTTGTGAAAACACTGTTATAATTTATATTGAGGTTCCTCAATTTCAATGATAATACAGTTTGCACAACCATGGAGATCTTTGTGATGGAAATTACAAGTAGAGTACATTAGTATTCCATGTTTGCAAAACCTTGAGACGCCTGTAGATTTAAATCCATATTTTATTTCTCTCCATAACTCATAACTTTGTCTCAATAATCACCATCCATACCATACATAATGCTAACTGATAAATGGATTGATTGTTATGGATTATCTTCAATTAAAGACACCTTTTATACAATGCAGTGTAACAGGAACTATGTGTTTTAATTACAAGGTCTTGTTTGATATGGTCTATGCATTTTGATAGACCATCGTGGCCATAGTGACTTATCAAAGTCTGATCTCGACAGATATCAGAAGCTCAGCAGGACTTCTGGGTCTGGTTAGTACTTGGATGGGAGACCGCTGGGAAAATCAGGTGCCACAGTGGGGTGCCAGTGCGAAAACTGTTGTTGTGTCCTTAGATTAGACACTTTACCCACATTGCCAGTATAAACGGGGTGTGTGTGTGTGTAAGTATTGGTGATGGTCAGAGGGGCGAATGGCGCAGATTGGCAGCCTCGTTCCTGTCGGTCTGCCCCAGGGAAGCTATGGCTACATTATTATCTTACCACCACCACGTATTGAGTGATTGAATAATGAACCAAATTGTAAAGCGACTTAGAGCATTTGGAAAAGCTCTATATAAGTTTCATGTATTATTATTATTATTATTGAAGTAACATCTAGTTTGTCCTCTTAGGTATGACAACCATGCAGAACCAACTGCTGGGGACTGTCCCAGACATGCTTGCTGTATTTGCAATTGCTATAGGCCTATATTGAACCCCCCCCCCCATCTGTATAAATAGATAAACTTAAAGGGACAGTGTGTAACTTTCTGGTGGTGGAATGTCATGATTCCATGGAAATAGAAAGTTAAAACCATACTTTGTAACACTCTCGATGGGGTTAGAGAAGTTTAATGCCATTCTGTGGGATTTATAGTCAAACAAACATTTCCACGGAAATAAGCAGGAACAGGCTCTCCTTTAGAATAAGCAGTTTTTAAGTGGAATACAAATAACCAGAATGGAAAAAGGAAAAACATGTACTTATTTTAGCCTATTTGTGGCTAAAAGGTTTCATACTGTGGCTTTAACTTTCACTTGGTGTTCTTGCACACTAGTTTCATTCTTTATTTCCCTGTAAATTTCATTATCCCACTCTCCACTGCGGAAAAGGTCATTCTCCAAACCACCACGGCAGAGGAATTTCCTGGAAAAGTTCACTTTGCTCTTTAGATCTGAGCTGTAAGCACTAGCCTGTTTTATTTATTTACCCACGCACCATTACACAGTTCATTACCATTGATTTGCATGGTTCAGCGTTTAGCCCTGTCAGAATGTATTGGTTTCTGGTCCTGTCTGTAGACCAGCCAGTTTCTTTTAGCTGATCACACAAGTGCAGCAGTTTGTGGGAAAATGCAATGAAGTTGTTCACATCCTTAACCACACGGAGATCCAGGAATACTCTTTGGGCTAATATATTTGCTTATAGGTCACAAGTGCAGCTCATTTTGTGGTGGGGGTTTTAAATAGCTGTGAATGGCCGGCTTATTGAGTCTGTGTCTTGATGAATTATACGTGAGAGAAGTGGTCAAGTGATGCTGCACTGGGAAATCATTGTATGCACTGTGCAAGTACATTTTGTATATTTTTAAATACTTTAAGATGCACTGTGTAACTTTTCAGGTTGGAAGACTGAAACCTTCTTGTCTCCATGTCAATGTTGCTTTGCATGGAATGTTTTCTCAATATTAAACTTCTCTCTTTCTCTTGTTCAACTAGAAAAGCACTCAGAGAGCGCAGACCTCCGCCAAGGACTACCCCCATTTTTTATATAAATTGCGATAAAATCAGTCTTCTGGATCAGATCCGGATCAGCCTTTGGAATATGAAAGAGGATCCCATTGTCCATCCCTGAGTCAGATTTCATGGGGTTTGGTCAATAATTAACCGAGATATTGAGAAACAAAATTTTTGGCCCCATTTACCACAATGTTAACTAAAATTTCAAAGTGATCCAGAATCCAGGATTTCTTCCGGATCACCCCCAAAATGAAATCAGTTCTTCCTTTTCACATTTCCAACAAATCCTGAAAATTTCATCAAAATTGGTCCATAACCTTTTGAGTTATGTTGCTAACAGACAAACAAACAGACAAACAAATAGACAAACGCCGGCAAAAACATAACCTCCTTGGCGGAGGTAATTAAGTGTTTTCTAGCAAAGAAAATGTCCTTCCATAGATCTGACCTCTAACCTGATGCTGTCACCTACTTGTCTCCATGGAGGTTAATGGATTTAATGCCGTAGTGTGAAAAATTCTTGACAAAATCATAGTGACAAAGCAGGTTGCAAAAACTGCTATTCAAAAATTCAATACTTTCCCTGATCAGCAATAATCAGGGATGGAAATGCTGAACTAGATTTATTGCTTTTATTGCTTATCTCCATGGTGATGTCATTTGTCTGAGATATTCCACAGTATGGCATTAAACAAGCAGGAAAATTACATGGTGTTGACTATATATGACTACTTCAGCACTACATAAGCCTCTGTAATATAACAATGGCTGGGTTTCAGATGATCTCATAACATTCTGTAGGCCAATATTATTTAATGCAGATGAGGGAAGCTAAAATTCCTATTGATAAAATGCAGATTTTTGTAATAATACAATGAGTTCTTGGGTCTAGTCATTGATGGCAATGATCAGGTTCAACATCTGCAAATTTAACTTGGGTATTACATGAGAAAGTACAATGTAATCAATAGGGGAAAAACCTGGCTTTTGTGAGTATGACGTGAGTATCCCGTTCTATAATCTGAAAACCACCGATATGAAACAAAAACCTGCCTATGTGCCTATAACAGATTGGAATACTCACTTTACTAGAACACAGTTATGATCCTTTTGCTAAACTTCTTACAAATCTTTTCTCAGTTGGCCATTTTTGAGGTTTCAAATTTTACTTCCTGTTTGGAAATCTTGACCACATACTAGGGAATTCCATAACTGCATCCTAGCAACCATGTGGGTTTATACTGGGCCAGACCTCCTCTAATGTGCACAGAGATTATAATCTGACATATAAATATAAGAACACAGCTTTATTTTGTTGAAATCATGTTTGAGTATCAGAAAAATGTGTTTTTCACATGTAAATTGTGCCAAACTTTTGGACAAAATTCTCCCAGTGTGATGTCATCAAAATGAAACCCTCTAAAATAGAACTCACCACTTCCTGTAAATATCAACATATTATTCAACTTTTCTTCACAAGCTGCTTCTCGACTGGTATAAAATTATCATTTATATTGCCAACAGGTATGATCCCACCAAATTAAAGATGCATTGTGGAACTTTTCTGCTTGTTGGATATGTGGATATGTCATTGCACTCCCACAGTATGACATTAAACAGCTCTACTTTACATTTATTAAATTAAAGGTGGTTTTATAGCTCAAAAATACCTAGAAAAACACACATTATGACTGTGAGTGGAGCGCCTCTCCACAGATCTGACCTGTAACTTGGTCTGGTTTGGTCTCCATGAAGATAGAAAAGGTTTAGTGTCATACTGTGAAACGTTCCAGACAAAGCAATAACAATAACATCTGCAAAAGCATTTGACAGATCCTCCACCAGAAAAGTTACACAATGCACCTTTAAATCAAAATGAGAGGAGAATCATAATGGTCATACCCAGAATCTAACTCAACAATTCTCGAAACCTGTGTGGTAACCAAGGCGGGTCAAGTCCAGTAAAAAAAAATCCATGCATACAAACCACCTTATACTCTAAAGGTCATATTACCATTATTCTAACTCCAGCTCTTCTTCTCTCCTCTTTGTTCACAGCCGAGCCCCTCCCTCTCATGGACCTGTGCAGACGAGTGGCCCGAGTAGCTTTGGGACGAGACCGGATCCACCACATCGACTCCCTCCCTCTGCCGCAAACGCTCAAAAACTACCTCCAATACCAATAAAGACTGTCTATAGCATCAACACAGGACGCAAGGTGGACCTATCCGTTCTAACCAGCTGGAACTGCGATGTAAAGCATGACAAAACACACAGACAGTTGCAAAAAAATGATTTCGTTTACAAGATTTCAGATTTCTTAGATTTTGGATTTTTTTTAATCTGCTTTTTTTTTTTTTCCTTTCTTTTTAAACTTTGCTTTCTTGGTGCGCTACTAAGGTGGAGAAGTTGACCGTGAGATTACAAGTGTTGCAGTGCAGTTTAGCAGATACAAGCCTTAAATCTTACGCACAAAATCAGTTAGTGTTTATGGATATATACATGAAAATAGAAAGTGAAGTAATGCTTTTTTGTCTGAAACAGATTACAGTAGTGTCATGGGTTTGCTGAAAACAATGGACCCTCTGTGAGCAGTAATGCAGCCACTTAAGATACCAAAACAACTAGTTACTCAACATGGGTTTTCTCCTTATTTACAAAAGATCTAAAAAGTTGGGACACTGTAAATACACAAGACGAGCTCATAATGCCGGTTTTTAGTATTAAGGTGCGTTGTGTAACTTTTCTGGTGGGTTTTCGTCATTTAAATGTTCTTTCTTTGACTGGAATGTTTCACAGTATGGCATTAAACCTTTCTGTCGTCATGAAGACCAAACAAGGCGAAGATACAGGTCAGATCTGTGAAGAGGTCACAGAAAGAATACATATTTTTCTGGGTAGTTTTGAGCAGTGGAACCACCTCTGATTGAGTGCAAATGTAATGTAGAGCTGTTTAATGTTATACTGTGGAACATTCCTTGTAGAGCAATGGCGTATCCATAGAAACAAGCAGTTAACGGACCCCCAACCTAACCTAAGTTTCATAAATCTGTAAATTCAATTAAAGGTGCGTAATTTTTGATGATTGAGGGTCTGTCAACTGCTTTGTCACAAGTACATGTTGGTGATGTCAACAGACCAGGTTACAAGTCAGATCTGTGGAGAGGCGAGACCCACTCACATTAAGAAAGCATGTTTTTCCAGGTATTCCGAGGAGGAGAAAAAAAACAAAAAAACATGCGTAACTGAATAAATGAAAAAAGAAAATTAATTTACTCCCACACTATGGAACATTGCAGGTAAACAAAAAATATCTCCATGGGCACAAGCAGGTAGCAGACCCTCCACCAGAAAAGGTACATTGGTGAAAAGACGGAAAAATTCAAGTTCACAATAAGTTGTCTTTCCAATTTAAAAAAAAATTTAAATTTTTTTAAAAAGTTCATACAAAAATTGAAACACAATATATTAAATTAAAGAAGTATTATAAGTTGCTTTTTCTTCAAAATACTAGTCTGCCATTATACTACTACTATTGTGTGCCCCCTAGTGGTTATAATTGAATGGGTTGCAATCATCAAATGTAATGTAATTTTTAATATAAAACTATAAATATGTCTTAATTGGTATGTTGTTTTTAATTACATATAAAACCCAACTCTTCGATTAACAATTTAGGATTCATGTACATTTTGAAGGTCTGGTCTGATTTAGTGGCAGTTATGGGTTTTATTGAATTTACATATTTTTAAATTTTTAATTTTCAGTGTCCCAACTTTTAAAAATTTTGATGATATTTTTCTCAAATCTTAAAATTCCAAAACCATGTCTTGGACTGACAGTGTACCCGAGATCTAACCCAAAGCACAGTATCTCTAACAAAAACACTAAATGGTTTTAAATGCTGCTTTCCTCTTTCTTTCCACCATTTTGGCCTCTTGAGTTTTTAATCATTTGCTTTTGAAAGATGGTCTTAAGAGATTTTTTAGTCTTTTTTTCTATGTATTTTGAGATTTATGCGGGGTCCATGTCTCGCAGGTTCAAGAATGTGCTGCCATGAGATCTTTTAATGTGAAGAATAAACTTGGCTAAACTTGTATTGTTTGGGTTTAATTATTAGTCTGTGTGGACTTTGCATGTTCTGCCTGTGTCTGAGTGGGGAACAAGCACAATAGGTCTAATCGTCCAGTTGAGGTTGTCCTGACTAAGACTAAATGAAGATCTGGAGATGGGTTTTCATCTTTTTCATTTCATTTTTACTTACTTCTCACGACCAGAACCAGAAGCACAAAGACAAAAGCACAGTTCACAAATTACTTTTTGCTTTATTTTTGCAACAACAATATAAATTTGTGCATTGAAGGGTGTAATATTTGGGCAGATACCTCCCTCTACATGCACCAACTTCACTATTCGAGCATGTGAAGAATACATTACAAAGATTATAAGATGCAAATGTCTCTCAATGTTCCTACTGTCCCTGTCTGTTGTTCCAGTTTTTTAAATTCCCTGTAAATGTCACGAGACGTCATACTCTCAGTCTTCCACATGTCATTTCTATATGAACTGCTCCTTTAGAGTTCTTTCCACCCTGAACTTCAGCCAGTTGACATTGGTGATTTGTGTCCATAAAGAGACTTGCTCAGAGAAATTGTATGTAGTGTTAAGATACCAAAAACCCAATTTCAATACTATGGAAAAGACTCAGTATGAAATATTGATTCACTTAGTTTTATTTTGAATATTAAAGGTCCTATATGATGCAAAATTGACTCTTGTGAGCTTTAAGGCATGTTAAAATGTTGTTACCTCCTCTAAGGCTGTGTTTGACAGTCTGAGCAGAAGGTGCAACGAAAACACTTTTGCACGTGCTTCTTATTCCGTGTTTAGCATTTTTGAGAGGAAATCTGCGTGCATACGGTGACGCAAAAGTGTGTGGAATTCGATTGGGTATGCATCAAGCCACAGGGTTTCAAAATGGCCGCCCATTGAAGTCCATGGGCCGAGCTCAATGGCACATGATTCCAGAGTAGTCTTTAGCCTGGCGAGGTCCGTCTGGCAGCTGTGGGCCAACTGAGCATGCGCAGTAGTGCTCTTTTCTCCCACGAGCGCATGCACAGAGCATGGTCTCGAGTATCACGTGATCGCTTTGACCAATCAGAGCGAGAGGAGCTAGAGCATAGCAGAGTGGAACAATTATAAAGCTTTTTTTTTTAAAGACAACTGAAGGATTTTGAGATGAGAAAAAAGTTTGATATAAAAAAAGGTAAAAATTGCCACAAAATTTGACATTTTTGAAAGTTGTAGGTGTGCTGTCAGCCGAACACGAGCAGTTTGTGATTACATTGCGCTCTATGAGAAAAATCTTGTCTCAACTCAGGGGATTTTTTCCGCTGAAGTACCATTGAAGTTCTGCTGAAGTGAGTGGCCACTACGTCAACTGGAGGAAGCCACAAGCAACAACACCCTATCCAGTTGTTTTAATAGATCCATGGTGTGCATGCCAGACAGCTAGGTGGTGACGTATGTGACGTAAACATGTACACGATGTGAGCAGATCTGACCAGAGTTTTGTGTCTTGGGCAGTGTAGACGGAAATGCTATGGCGGAGCATATTTAACTTTTCTACTCTGGAGGGTGGTTTCAGATTTTTGCGTTTTAAAGCCCCAAAAACTCTGTCACCATCTAAACCAAAGGCACTTCCGATGAAATATTTTGTCATTTTTACCTGCAAGTGTTCTTGTGTAAACAGGCCTAAGTCTGTCCACATTTCTAAAGCTCAAAACGCTCCGTTCCACTTTTGTGATGTCAACACAAAAACAACATTATTATAACATAGATCAGAAAATAGTGTAATATGGACCTTTTAAATTGCAATCCATACCTGCTCAAATGAGTATCTAGTTTCGATACTAGTTTCATTATCGATTAGTATCCGATTTTCAATATTTATGACAACCCTTAGCCCATACACAAAAGAACTCTGAAAGAACTGTGTCAAATTCTGTGTACAAAGTTCCCCTGGACCGTAAAACACTTTTTATTTGTGATTGTTGCTTGTGATTTATCTGTGCTAAGATGGGCCATGAATTCCCCTGAAGGATAAGCCATAATTCTGCAGAGAAGACAACGATTTTTACAGTGAACCAATCATAAATGTGTCAGCTATTACAACATGTTTTAACTGTGAGAAAACATTGCTCAAACTAAACCAATAAAGCAAATGCCAGGGTTTGCTGTTTATGTAACCCAGATGCCAGGCCCACTCCTGTCTGGCGATTCTCTCTGTCACTGAGGCTTTGAACTGAACAAAAGCTGTGATCAAAGTTCAGCTCCCCTCTGTGTCTCTGCCAACAGCACAGGCCTGTACTGTCCATTGTACTGTGCAATGTCATGTCCCAAACAAAGTAGCTGCTGATCTATACAACTCCCGTGTATTTACAGTTTTGTTTCACCGGGTCATGCCTGATAATATTTCAAATCGGATCAAAGGTGGAGCTGTTAGAAGTTTTGAAAATCAATTTAAATCTAGTATCAGAACTAGAAACTCATTTGAGCAGGTATTGATAATAAAAAGTCACATTCACAGGACAGAAATGACCCTTTTCCTGAATAGCTTTAGAATGACCTTGAGCTGTATCAGAACAAATGTAAGAGCACATAGACCAGCATATACCCATGGATCACTATAGAACCTACCTGGAGATTATGTACACATAAGGCCACATGGTAATATAAAAGAAAGTACTATAATTTAATGTTGAAAATCACATTCTATTGTCCAAAAAAAGAGTATTTCTTTTTTATTACTATGATTGTGTTTAGGGATGTGCAAAAATATCAAAATATCTTATATATATCGTATAGTTTAATGTGATGATACAGTATCAATATCATGGACTGCTGTATTGATATATCACCAAGAGAATTTTTTGGTATATTTTACTAATTTATTACAGCGCTACAGTTTTGTTGCTTATTTAGTGAAAGGAAACTCGTTTATGTAGCACATCTGACATATTCACTGTTCTGGTTGATTAAAATGTTTGTGTTTCATATGAACTTTGAAAAGATTTTTAGTATCACAGCCATGAGTGAGCCTTTATTTTTTATTGAAGCATATCGAATCAATTTGAAATATATCGTATTGAACTTGAAAGTGCATTTTATCGAGATATGTATCGTATCGGCAACTTCTTAATGATTCTCAGCCCTTATCATGTTATCAGAATTAGTATTGAGTACCAAATTTCTTCCTTAGCTCCAAACTCAACTTTGAAATTTGAATATTGTGTCAGTAGTTAAAAGTAGCCTGATTCATCAGCCGGTTTCACTTCGTGGAAACCGTCTGACCTTGCAGTGTTAGAATTCATTCGCTCGACGGTAGGCAGGTAGGTAGGTTACTTTTTATCGGTAGGTTACTTTTTGTCATTTAACCAATCACTGCTATTTGGTAGTCACGTATGTAATGCGCCGCTAATGGGGTTAACAGGTATATTAAGCTTTTCCCAAATCCCGTAGGAAGAAGGACAATAACGTCTTTCCCCTTGATAAAATTCACCAAACTTTCTCTTTATTCTGGCTTTAAATCCTCGATCTTCAGAATCGTTGACAATACAGAATATATGACTCTTCGCTGATTGGTTGGTGCCCAAACACGCACTTCCGGGTACTTGTAAACTGTCTATTGTATTCCGATTCCTGACCTAGATCCTGGAGAGAAATGAAATTGAGCGGAGGCACTAGGTGTCACCAGGCTGGCTAAGTTTAAAGTACCGTATTTTCCGGGCTATTGGACGCGCTCTTAAGCCTCTAATCCCATCAAAAACGACTGCGCGCCCCACAATCCAGAACGCCTTATACACGAATCTACTCGGGTGTCCCAGCATGACTTCAGTAAACTACAAAGACACACCACCCACAGCGCACGCAAACACACACAGAGCAGACAGCGACCGCACAGCGAAAAACACCCGCAGCCACACTCATCACCCCACGCCGACGAGGAACGGAACGTAGGAACAAACCGAAAAAGCGAATCCAATGTGCCACTCTGAGCCACAACTGAACAACTGAGTCACTGCGAACACGCCGACAATCCAGCGGTCCCAGACAGCACCCTCCCTACACGCCACAACTGAACAAAGCCCAGAGTCACCGTGAACGCAACAAACAAAGTCTGACTGACCCATCTAACTGTTGTGTTTCGTTTAAAGTCCGGTGCAGTTTATTTGTGGAAAAAGTTTGAAAATAGACCATTCAATGACACTGCTCCTTATAATCCAGCCCTATAGTGCGGAAAATACGGTACATCAAGTTAAAAAAAAAATACTGTCTGCTTGTATAGAGGTTATTGCTTTGCCTCGAATGTTCCACAGTATGGCATTAAACATATCTGATGTGAATTTATTAAATAAATGTGTTTTTCTGGCCCAACTTGACTCAGTTGTCTGCTCGTCTCCGTGGAGATGAGTCATAATGCCATACTGTGAAAAATTCCTGACCCCCCCCTTGTTTCTTTTTTCTTATTAGTAAATTATTAGCAATTAAGTGACAGGTCAGTGCATTTTTCAATCAATACCGTGACTTGTTGAGCTCTGTTTCATGTGATCACAGTGCTGCCTTCACTCCCTTTTGGTTCACCATTAACTCTGCTGGAGCTTATCACAGATACTCAGACGCCAAGTGATACCAACGTCGGTAAAGTCCATAATAAATCTCTCACAATGAGTTTACATTAGTACACGGAGAGCAGTGAAGAATGTGTGACGTGTTGCATAATCCTCAGTTTGACATTAAAGCTAATAAAAAAATATATAAGTTCAAACATTTATCTGAAAGCAAAGGTGTTGGTCTGACTTTGATTTAAAAGTTCTACACCAAAAGACGAGATAAGCCGCAGTATAAGGGTCACTCGGGGACACTTTGCTCCTCTCTCCTCGGCTCCTTTGTCCTCTTCCTCTTCTTCTCCTCTCTCATCTCCCCTCTCTTCTGCTTCTCTCTCCACTGCTCCTCCTCTTCTCTCTCCTCTGCTTCTCTTTGCTCCTCTCTCCTCTTCTTCCTGCTCCTCTCTACCTCTCTCTGCTCCTTTCTCCTCTG